GGGGATGGGATGGGGTGGGATGGGATGGCATGGCATGGCATGGCATGGCATGGCATGGCATGGCATGGCATGGCATGGCATGGCATGGCATGGCATGGCATGGGGTATTTTGGATTTAGGGGGGAGGGATGGGATGTTTTGGGTTTGGGGAAGGTATGAGGTATTTTGGGTTCAGGGGATGGGATGGGGTATTTTGGGCTTAGGGGATGGAGTATTTTAGGTTTGGGGGATGGGATGGGGTTTTGGGTTTATGGGGGTGATGGGGGATATTGGGTTTAGGGAATGGGGTATTTTGGGTGTGGGGTGGAGTGATGTATTTTTGGGTTTGGGGGAGGGATGTGGTATACTGGGTTTAGGCAAGGGATGGGGTGTTTTGGGTTTGGGGGATGAGGTATTTTGGGTTTAGGGGAGGGATGGAGTATTTTGGGTTTAGAGGATGGGGTATTTTGCGTTTAGAGGATGGGGTATTTTGGGTGTAGGGAATGGGATGGGATGGGGTATTTTGGATATAGGGGGGAGGGATGTATTTTTGGTTTTGGGGTGGGATCGGGTGTTTTGGGTTTAGGGGCAGGATTGGGGTGTTTTGGGTTTAGGGGATGAGGTATTTTGGGTGCCAGGGGAGCGATGGGGTGTTGTGGTTTAGAGGATGGGGTATTTCAGGTTTAAGGGATGGGATGGGGTATTTTGGGTTTGGGGGATGGGATGGGATATTTTGGGTTTAGGGGTGGGATGAGGTATTTTGGATTTAGGAGGCGGGGTCTTTTGGGTCTGGAGGGGATATGGGATATTTTTCATTTGGGGGGTGGGATGGGGTATTTTAGGTTTAGGGGATGGGATGGGGTATTTTGGGTTTGAGGGATGGGGTATTTTGGGTTTAGGGGATGGGGAGTTTTGGGTTTGGGGATGGGACCTGCTCCATGGGATGTCTCACACCTCTCTGGGAGCAGCTGGATAGAGGGGACGTGGATTTGGGGTTGTTTCTGTGACAATGAACTCAGGACTGGGCTGATGGATGGAGGGGATGGATGTGGGGACACCAGGAGGGCAGAGGGTAAAACCCTGTGGATGTTGGGGACACAGCCAGGAAGGGAGGAGGGCAAAACCCTACAGTTCCTCTGAGGAAYTGAGGTGCCAATTTGGGGGCGCTTTGGGGTTTAGGGGTCGGTTTGGGGTTCAGGGGCCAGTTTGGTGTTCAGGGTCTACTTTGGGCTTTCAGTGCCAGTTTGGGGTTTAGGGGCCAATTTGGTGTTCAGGGGTCAGTTTGGCATTCAGGGGTCAGTTTGGTATTTTGGGGTCAGTTTGGCATTTAGAGGCCACTTTGGTGTTTCAGTGCCACTTTGGGGTTTTGGGGCCACTTTGGGGTTTTGGGGCCACTTTGGCATTTAGGGGTCAGTTTGGTGTTTAGAGGTCCCTTTGGGGTTTCAGGGCCACTTTGGTGTTTAGGGTCCACTTTGGGGTTTAGGGGCCAGTTTGGTGTTCAGGAGCCACTTTGGTTTTCAGAACCACATTGGGGTTTCGGTGCCAGTTTGGTGTTTAGGTCCAGCAGCCCCATGAGGGATCCAGAAGGTGCAGGAGTTCAGCTCCATTGCGGGGGGATGGAAGGACTGAGGGATTTATTGACCCCACAACAGCACCGGGGATTTATTTCCTGCCAGGGGCACCTGTGTGAGGCTCCTGCAATCCAAACAAGAAAATTTGATAGGAAAACAGGAAAAATCCAGGATCAGGACCCTGAGTTTGGCTTTCCTGGTGTCTGCTCTGAGTCTGAGAGGGTCTTTCCTCCACCTTCCTGAAGGATTTCGGGATTCCTGAGCTCGGAAGCTTTAGGAGGAGGGGAGTGGGTTGTGGAAAGCAGGAAAACCCCACAAAAATCCTTCTGTGGAACCCAGCAGGGGGGACTTCAGTGACACCGGAGGGGACATTGGCCAGGGAAGGAAAGAGTGTGCAGAGTGATTCTGGAATTGTGGGGTGGTTTGGGTGGGGGATATCCTCTCCTACCTGTGCCATGGGACATCTTCCACCATCCTGAGGGGCTCTGTCCAGCCTGGCCTTGGGCACTGCCAGGGGTCCAGGGGCAGGGAAAACCAGCAACAGGAGCAGCAGCTCGCTTTCCTTCCCTGGCCAATGCCCCCTCCTGTGTCACTGAAGTCCTCCCTGCTTGGTTCCACAGATGAATTTTTGTGGCGTTTTCCTGCTTTCCATTCCCATCCCAGCCCAGTCCACAGAGCCCACTCGTGCTGCCATTTGAGGATTTTGGGGGAGGTTTTTCTCCCTTCTGGCATTGGAGCTGTTTCTTCCTTGTCCAGGCTGGGTGTTTAACCGTTCCCTGATTCCCTTTGTGGTAATGAGGTGGAGGGAGGGCTCTCAGGGGAACTGGCTGCCAGGAGCTGCTCTGGGAGCAGGGACGATGTTGACAAAAGGCTTGGAGCAGCGAGGGAATCCTGCTGAGTCACRGCTGCTCTGGGGAGGCTTCAACAGCTGCTGAAAGGGGAGCCAGGGCCGATCCCAACCCTCCAATTCCTRTGGGAGCTTTGGTGTTTCCTCAGACAGGGATGAACCCCAATGTTGGGATGGTTTGCGGGAGTGTTCCCTGCTCTGTTCTCAGAGGTCTTAACGAGCCACAGGAGTGGGGAGGGAGCAGAGAAAAACCCGGGGATTTGGGGCTGCAGAGCCGTGATCCCTCTCTGGAGGAGATTGAGGTGGGAGCTGCTCCTTCGGCCCCTCACAGGCACCAGCCCCAGCTATGGCGGCGGAGGGTACCCGGGGGACACGGAGCTGCTCACCACCTTCAGCTGGGACGACCGAAATGTGCGCCGCGTCTTCATTCGCAAGGTGAGGGGGGACACGGCCCTCGGCCTCTGGGCTGGCTCGGCTGCAGCCCCCAGCCCTCAAAGGAGCCAGGGTGTGCCATGTTCCAGGATCCATGGGCTGGCCTGGCTCCAGCCCCCAGCCCTCAGTGGGCCCAGGGTGTGAGGTGTTCCAGGATCCATGAGCTGACGTGGCTGCAGCCCCCAGCCCTCATAGGAGCCAGGGTGTGAGGTGTTCCAGGATCCACAGGCTGGTCCAGCCACAGCCCCCAGCCCTCAAAGGAGCCAGCGTGTGGGGTGTTCCAGGATCCATGGGCTGACCTGGCCGCAGCCCCCCGGCCCTTAGCAGGACCAGGCTGTGAGGTGTTCCAGGATCCATGGGCTGACCTGGCCTCAGACCTCAGCCCTCAGAGGAGCCAGGCTGTGCCATGTTCTGAAATCCACGTGCTGGCCTTGCCTCAGCCCCCAGCTCGCAGTGGGACCAGGCTGTGCCATGTTCTGAAATCCACGGTCTGGCCTGGCCGCAGGTCCCTGGCCTCAGAGGAGCCTGGCCATGCTGTGTTTTGGGATCCACGGGCTGGCCTGGCCTCAGACCTCAGCCCTCAGAGGGGCCAGGCTGTGTCATGTTCCAGGATCCACAGGCTGGCCCAGCTGCAGGCTCTGACCCTCAGAGGGGTCAGGCTGTGGGGTGTTCCAGGATCCATGGGCTGTCCCGGCTGCAGGCTCTGACCGTCAGAAAGGCCAGGCCCTGCTGCATTCCAGGATCCACAGGCTGGCCCGGCTGCAGGTCCTGGCCCTCAGTGGGGCCTGGCTGTGCCATGTTCTGAAATCCACGGGCTGGCCCAGCTGCAGGCTCTGACCCTCAGAGGGGCCAGGCTGTGCCATGTTCCAGGATCCACAGGCTGGCCTGGCTGCAGCTCCTAGCCCTCAAGGGTCCCTCAAGGGTCCAGGCTGTGCCATGTTCCAGGATCCATGGGCTGACCTGACCGCAGCCCCCGGCCCTCAGCAGGATCTCGCTGTCCCACATTCCGGGATCCACGGGCTGGCCTGGCCTCAGCCCCTGGCCCTCAGAGGAGCCAGGCTGTGCCATTTTCTGAAATCCACGGGCTGTCCTGCCCTCAGCCCCTGACCCTCGGGAGACCCTGGCCATGCCATGTTCCAGGATCCACGGGCTGGCCCGGTTGCAGCCCCCAGCCCGCAGCAGGGCCTGGCTGTGCTGTGTTCCATGATCCACACCCCTCCCTGCAGGTTTACGCCATCCTGATGGCCCAGCTCCTGGTCACCGTTGTCATCGTGGCTTTCTTCACCTTCTGGTAGGTGCTGGGTGTGTCCTG